AAAGTTAATTTGGAAAAATTCCTTAAAATTTAAAAATCCGCTCAAATCACTATAAATGGCATTAAATTAGTATTAGTTTCAGAACTAGTGGTGCGAAAAATATTTAGCGAATATTTTTAGCTCTTTTATGAAAACTTGTTTTGCGATTAAGATTTAAAGATGAGATAAAATGACAAATAATTGTCAAATCATTTCTTTTTTATTAAAATGAGTCGACATTCAATTCAGAAACCGATTAATGATTTTAATTATAAACACATTTTCTGTCATATATTAGAATATGTCAGTCATTTGTATTATTGTACACAATATGCAGCTTTTAATAGCCATTGAACACAATTGCATTCATTAATATTATCTGTAAAACATTTCGTTATCAAACATTGACTGTAATAGAGATGATAATTAATAAATGGGTTGTCTGTCTGTGAACTATAGATGACTTCAAACCGGCTTCAGTGGACAGGGAGAAGACGGCTGTTTTGGACGTGGAGGCGAACAATAAGGTGACGGTGACGGCACCTAATAGTTCGGGCTCCGGGAGCTCGGAAACGGTGTTCAAAGGGTCGCGAAAGGCGCACCAAAAGGAATGTGTGCTTATAATAGATCACAAGACGGGAGAAATAACTTTAGAGAAATTAAACCAAAACATTGCAGTGAAGAGAACGCGTCAACAAAACCCGAGTAAAGGACAGACCCAAAGGACAGTTGGGTTGACGGGTCTCACCAATACTCCCAATGATAGCAAGAAATTAGTGCCACAATTGCCTCATTCGCAGCAAAAGCCAAACTCTCCGTTGACTACAAATCGCCAAAATTCGCCAAATAATGCAAACAATAAGCAAAAAGTGTCTCCAAATAAGACCAACTCTAACGGACAAACACTGAGTCAATTGCACCGCAAGAGTCCACAGATAAATCAACCCATCAGTCCCTCAATGCCCACATTGTCTTCACTGTCCTCGATGTCCACCACATCTACTAAGCCTTCGGTTTCCAATTCAAGTTCCAGTTTTGCTCACAAACGTGATATTAATGGAGCGTTAGGTCTGTCGGACTCTTCAAGTGATTCCAGTGATCGCGAGTCGACTTCTAGTTCTAGTGATAGCAGTAGTGATTCGAGTAGTGATGAGGAGGATGTCCGCAAAC